CGGCAGCTGGAAGTTTGCTGGGGCCCCTTCGGCTGTGGCTCTCAACAGTCTGCCTCAGCAGTTTAGCAAGGTCCTAAGCCATTTAGTGAGACCCTATCTTAAAATAAAAATTTAAAAAGGTATAGGGATGCGGCCAGTGGTTAAGCACCCCTGGATTCAATTCCTGGTACTGAAAGGAAGGAAAGAAGGAAGGAAGGAAGGAAAGAAGGGAGGGAGGGAGGGAAAGAGGGAGGGAAGGAAGAAAGAAGGAAGGAAAAGCTATGCAGCAGTAACACTGAATAAACTACAATTATGTACAACATGGGTGAATCTCACAAAACATAATATTGAGTAAAAGAAGCCAGACACAGAAGAGAGCATAGTGAATGATTCCATTTATATCAAGTTGAAAAGCAGGTCTTTACTGTTAGAAGTCAGCGCGGTAGTTATCCTCAGGAGGAGAATAATAACTTTGAGAGTACAGTTGGCCCTCCTTATGTGTGGGATCCATATCTAGAGATTCAACCAACTGTGGATCTGAAATATTAGGGGAAAATTATATCCATAGTGAACATGTATAGACTTTTGTTCTTGTTTTCTAAACAATACAGTATAACAGCCATTTATATAATATCTCCATGTTGTTAGATATTATAAGTAATCTAGGGATGATTTAGAGGATACGGAGGATGTCTAGGTTATATGCAAATTATACACCATTTTATTTGAGCCTTGAGCATCCAAGGATTTTGGTATCCTTAGAGTCCTGGAACCAGTCAGTTCCCTTAGGTACTGAGGGATGACTGTATTTGTAGTACTCTATTCCTTGACACCTGAGGGTTCAATTTGTGAAAATTCTTTGAGCTATATGCTTTTTCCTTACATATATTATGTTGTATACTTTTCTGTATGTATGTTACATATCAGTAAGATGTTATGTAACTCAGAATATTGGAGTTCCTGGCTGTACATCCCAAAGCCTGATGGATGACCTTAAGTCATACCACTGAATTGCACTACCACCACCACCAAGCTGAAACTTCACATTGCACCACTGGCCACTGCTACCTTGTTGTTGCTAAGGCACTTGATCCAGCTGTAGCTACTCCCTGGCCCTTCTTCCACTTCTGGCTCCGTTCTTAGGCTTCTTTGCTTCTACCTTTGGTTAGGTAGAGCCTAACATAAGTTCTTCTTGCTGTAAGGGAAGCTGGGAAAACAAGTATCCAGTGTTTTCAGATTCTATAGTTGGCAGTGATATTGATCAAAAATTATAACCAGGTTGTGGGGGAAGAAGCTGTTTCAGATTTTGGCCAGCCAAAAAGAGGAACATCTTTGAGGTGAACATTTAAGTCAGCAGAATAAAGTAGATTTCAAGTGTTAGGAACAATAGAAGCCTAGGGGTAGAAGTTGAATGGAGTTAGGTATTTGGGTCCAGGGGAAACAGGTTTAACTGGATTAAAGGGTGTGTTCTGGGAAAATGGTGTGAGAGACATTGAAGAAATAGGGTGTGACAAGATTAAGGATTGCTTTGAAAGTCAGGCAGAGGAATTTAAATTTAATATGGGAATTTTGGAAGCAGTAAAAAGTTTTGAACAGGAGAATGTCCTGAGAGGAAATTGTATTTAAGGAATACTAATCTGGCAGCACTTTCAGGGGCAGCTAGGAGGCATCTATAGTAATTTAGGAGTGGAGTGGTAGATAGGGAGTAGAAATAAAAGGCAAATATTGGATTTAAGAGACAATTTGAAGCTAGAAGTTGTTTCCTCAAATGCCTGAGTCCTGAGCCCAAGTGCCTGGCCCTGCCTTTCACTTAGAGGAAGCCCGTTTGGAGGAAGAAGTAAGAAGAATGAGTTTTAGTTTTGGAATTGTTGAGTTTGAGATGATGGATATTTGTGCAAAAAATGATTCCTGTGCAGTTGGAGATGGAGAACAAGAGTGAAAAAAATCACTCTTTCAGAGAAAGGTGTGAAAGGATTGAAACTGTGTGTTGGGTCTCTTGGGCGCATTTCTCTTTTCTTTGTCATGGGCCACCAGGTTAGATAGACTAACTTGAATTTTATTTCAAATGATAAATGTGAACCACAACCTGTGTCTTCTGCTTCAGAAAGCTTCAATTTTCCCACCTCAGGACAGCTTGATCCTATTACTATTTTACATAATTTTCTGTTACTCTAATATCTTTTTACAGAAGATGATTAATACATGAGATGTTTTTCTTGCTTGTTTTTTAAAATATTTATTTAGTTGTAGATGAACACACAGTATTTTTATTTATTTTTTATGCAGTGCTGAGCATTGAACCCAGTGCCTCACACATGCAAGGCAAGCACTTTACCCCTGAGCTACAGCCCCAGCCATTCTTGGTTATTATTTTTTTTGGTGGACACAGTGTCTTTATTTTATATTTATGTGGTGCTGAGGATCGAACCCAGTGCCTCACATATACTAGGCGAGCGCACTACCTCTGAGCCACAATCCCAGACCATTGGTTATTTTTTAATAGCTTTGAATGCTGTGAATATGAGAAGAATGTGCTAAATTATTTATTTTTTATTTTATTTAGCAAACATAAAACATAATGGACTATCATGTGATGTTTTGATACATGTATAGATTGTGTAATGTTTAAATCAGGTTAAACTTTTTTTTTTTTTTCGGTACTAGGGATTGGACCCAAGTGCACTTAACCACTGAGCCACATCCCCATCCCTTTTTTGTATTTTATTTAGTTGCTTAGGGCCTTACTAACTTGTTGAGACTGGCTTTGATCCTCCTGCCTCCGCTAGCATGCACCACCATGCCCAGCCTCAGGTTAAACATATCTATCTCCTCAAACACTTATTGTTTCTTTATGATGAAAGCTCAAAATAATTTCTTCTAGCTTCTTTTAACATGCAGTATGTTATTGTTGTCTATAGTTCCCCTACTATGCAGCAGCAGACCAGAGCTTCTTACTTCTATCTAACTGTAACTTAGTACCCATTGTTTAACACACCAGAGGCTGTTTAACACAGCCTCTGATAACCACTATTCTACTCCTAGAACACAACAAAAAAGGAAACCAATATTGCTAATGAGCATAGATGCAGAAATTCTCAATAAAATACCTGCAAAGCAAATCCAACGACATATCAAAAAGGTCATTCATCATGCTCAAGTGGGATTTAGCCTAGGGATGCAGGATGGTTCAAAGGTGAGGGACTTCAATGCAGACAGAGAGAGAGAACATATGAAAAACAAACTTACAGATGATTAGAAAAGATTATAATTACCAGCACTTTGGGCTGCAGGGTATGCCTAAGGTGTGTATGCCAGCTCCATTAGAAAAGAATGAAGGGAAAACAAAAAAACAAAGGATTAACATAAAAAAAGAGAGTGGATAGAAAACCTATTTGGGTCTCACAAGTCTTTTTGAGCCTAAGCCAATACATTTAGTCACAGTCAGTAACCATAAGCTTTGGCATACTATTTGGGCTTGCTAAGGCAGCCAGGTTTCCTGAGCATGACTGTAGGCTTTTGTGTACAGCTTGAAAGCTGTTGCTGAGGCATGCCTTCTTGGTATTCATCTGAGGATTTTATTCTCTCTGGTGTAGAACATGTCCCTACCTGTAGATGACACTGGATTGCTCAGCTGTCACTAAAGGGTGTGTAACCATCTTAATAAGAAACAGGTTGTTTTGAACAACCAATAAAAAAAAAAAAAAGAAAGAAACAGGTTACTCCTTGGGTAATGTGTGAGACAGTGAAGAAAAAATCTTCAAATGGTTGCCCACTATTTATGCTACAGGTGTGTTTGCTGGAATATTTCCCCTTTCTGCATTAGTAATTTGAGGCCAGTTTAGCAGGGAATGTCCCTATGAAGATTAGAGAAAGTTAGCTGTTGGCTGAAAATTCCCAAAGCCTTTCTTTCTCAGTGGCTCTGTAAGTTTTTTCTGCCTAAAGAGGACGCATATGGTGGGGGTGCAGCTCAGTGGTAGAGCACTTGCCTGTCATGCGTGAGGCCCTGGGTCCCATCCCCAGTACTGCAGAAAAAGGAAAAAAAAAGTAGCAAATAGCAGGTTGAGAATTTAGGAAGTAATTTTGAGTATATGTCAAAAGATTTATCAGGCCTTTCCATTTTAAAGTGAAAGTGATGAACTCCACATTTATAAAGATTAACCTTTTTATGAATCTAACAGGCCTTTGCATTACTCCTTCTTTTGGTCATACAATAGCTTAGAAGAACTATCCCATATCTAAATCATATCAGAATCAAATCATTTGGGAAGAGATCTGTGTGCCCTAGGGCATGTAGCTTGCAACAGACTATGGAGCATCGAGTCTATCATTATTGCAGAGAAAATTTCACCAGCTGATTTGAGAGAAGCAGGAATTCATCATCCCCTTCAGAGGCTTCCCCTTAGTTCATTTACTTCAAAATCCCCCAAAAGGCAAACTATAATTGCCTAAGACATAACTAGCAAGGTGCACAGATGAGTATGGAAATGATTATTAGGAGGCAGAAGGTGAATATCACCAGTCTGTACTCAAGCATCCCAAGTCAAGCAACCATTCTCTGGGAAGGGAAATGCTACGTTTTTGTGTGTGTGTTTGTGGTATTGGGGATTGAATCCAGGGCTTTGTGCATGCGAGGCAAGCACTCTACCAACAGAGCTATATCCCCAGCCTGGAAATGCTACTTCTATTAAAAATTTATAAAGCAAAGCAATCACCAGGATACTATATATATTTAAAAATACTTTGTTTCATTTTAGAGCTGGTTGAACTTAAGTAGTACCTAGAACTTGTTTTATTTTATATATATGTGTGTGTATACATATATATATGTATATATAGTAGTATAATTAATTTTTTTTTTCAATAAATACAGGAGCTGACCAGTCTCATGCCTTGGAACTTAATTTGACGGATTCATCAAATGCTACTTGCCTTTATGCAAAGTGGCAGATGAATTTCACAGTAACGTATGAAACTACAAACAAAACTTATGTAAGTAAATATTTTAGTTTTATAGTAGAAATTTAATTCTGACTCCTTTTTTATTCCTTAAGTACATTTATACAAAATAAGGTTTCATGTTAACTGACCTAACACTTAAACTCTCTGGAGTATTTTTTAACATTATACTCTTGTAGACTCTTGTAGGTATTCTGTTTAGTGTTGGAATTCATATTTCTTCTAATCAATTAGTTCTTTTTTTTTTGGTACCAGGGATTGAACTCAGGGGCACTCAACCACTGAGCCACATCTGCAGCCCTATTTTGTATTTTATTTAGAGACAGGGTCTCACTGAGTTGCTTAGCACCTCGCTGTTGCTGAGGCTGGCTTTGAACCTGGGATCCCCTTGTCTCAGCCTCCTGAACGTCTGGGATTACAGGCGTGCACCACTGTGCTCAGTTTAATCAATTAGTTCTTTAGAGAGTTTTTCTTAGAGATGGTTAAGTGCAAATGATCTGAAGCTACATGATATTCAGGTCTAATTACCTCTGTAATATATTTAAAATATGCTAGAATTAAAGCTTGCCCTTTTTTAAATCTTTTTTAAAAATATCTTTATTTTTATTTGGTGCTGAGGATCAAACCCATGCCTCATGCGTGCTTTACCACTGAGTTATGGCCCCAGCCCCTAAAGCTTGCCCTTTTTAAAAAAATAGCTTGATATTAAAATCTTCCTTTTGGGGAATTTATTCTTAACCCTTTTGTCTTATTTTCTTTTGTTAAGGTTCTACCTACTTTAAAGCTTAATTGAAAAAAATCAGCTGAGGAGCTGCAGGTAAAGCTCAGTGGTGAGCATGTGTGTGGCTGAGGGTTCCATCCCCAGCACTGCCAAACAAACAAACAAAATCAGCTAGAGAACAATAGATCAGGACAGTTTTCCTTTTCTCTTTAGACATACAGGGGACTGGAGTGTAGCTGAAAATCTTGAGACTAATTTATGGGGAACACCAGGCAAAGGGCAACCTGGCCATGAAGAATGTGTGACATAGACTGAAGTGGCACACCCAGCTAGTCTCCCCATGTTTGGTGTTCACTGTAACCTGTTCTTCACCCCTAAATTTCTCTTTCTACTAGAAAACGGTAAACATTTCAGACCTTAGCAATGTGACATATGAGGGAAGCACTTGTGGAGATGACCAGAATGGTCCCAGAATAGCAATGCAATTTGGATCTGGTTTTTCCTGGATTGTAAACTTCACCAAACATGCTCCTGATTATTTGATTGATACCATCTCGTTTTCCTACAATATTCATAATCACACAACATTTCCTGATGCTGAACATAAAGGTAACTTTAAGAATTGGATTTGTGTTATGTTGTCTTGCTTTTAATTAATAATGTAAGCAACTTAAAAACCTTCATTATGCATGTCTTTCTTCCTAACTAGAATGGAAACGTCGTGTTCTTTATCTCCTCTTGTAAGCTCATGCATAGCACAGTGTTAGACATAGTAATGATGTTGATTGCATGGCTTGAGAGCTTTATTCTGTACAGTTTATTACCCTGTTTTACTTTTGACTTCTCACTTAATCCTTAACAAGAACCTTGGGAAGTAGATATTATCAAAGTTTTACAGGTAAAGGGATCAAGGTTTGATGACATTGACTTTCCCAAAGGTTATAAATCTAGTAGGTGGGCCAGCAGCTGGTGTTCAAACCAAAGTCTGTTCAGCTGCAGAATTTGTACACTTATTATTTATTTTATTAAGTAGTAGGCCCTGAACAAATGTTGAATAAATGAGAAAATCCTTTGCTGATAACTATTTTAAATATGTTCAAATTCAATAACCTGAAGCAAGAGGAAATGCCTCATCTGTACATGTTTTCGCCATTTAAAATGACTAAAAATTAAATGGGATTAAAGTTAAAATGACAAAAGTCAACATTTGCTGCCATTTTGAAACAATTTCAGATCAAAATGAACTTGGGAAAGTATTGGCAATTAGGTTTATTCTTGTAATTCCCATAACTTAAATGCATATTAAAACATTTTGAAGACATGTATAGTGGAGATTTTAATTTTATTGGGAATATAATTCTCTCCTTTCTTCCCCTCTATTGAGGTTATCATGGTGTTTGTAGTGGCATAGCTCTTCCCACAGATAGTGTTTCATTCTGACTTCACAAACAGAGGCAGATAGGCATTAGTCGCTCAGACATGGGATTTTTTTTTTAATCTTTATTTTTATTTATTAATATGGTGCTGAGGATCGAACCCAGGGCCTCACGCATGCAAGGCAAGCACTTTACCACTGAGCTACAACCCCAGCCCAATCTGGGGATTAATAACTCATATGGACTTACAAATCTCAAAAAAACTATATTTTAAAGATCTAGAAGTGTGTGAGTTCACAGAAAACGTGGGAGATAGCACAGACTAAGACTTAAAAAAAATTAAATCCTGGTTTTCTTTTTACTGATATCTTAGTTTGAGAGAATAACTAAGGCAGATTATTGGCTATGTTATTTATTTATCTTAGTATTCTGCATTGTTTTTGAGAAGTCAGATAAAATTTGTCCCTCATTTCAAGGAACTTAGAAACCAGTGGAGCTGACTTGTGTTCCCAGGTTATATGAATTTGGAAAGCATTGAGCTCAGTCTGATCTTTTTTAATCTGTTCATGTTTTTGTTTGAGGGGAGAGAGTGTTCATGAATCTTTTCTGACAATGTGAGGCAAGCTTTAGATACTCTCTCAGAAAAGAAAAAGTGCACAGTAAATTCTGCATATGGCATTTAGTCCCTGAACCCATCCATGTGGCCAAGAGTGCCAGCTTCAAAAATGTTCTTATCAGTGATCCTGATTAGGAGCAGAGAGAAAGAAGAGGTCATTAAGCAATAGAGGAGTGAGAAGGCTGGGTGGCCAAGTAGGACCTGAGCTGAAACTGGGCTAACAGTCAAATTTGAGTAAGCAGAGGATTTTGAGCAGGATGTTTCCAGCAGGGGGAAGCATAGTATGTGCAACAGTAATTGGAGAGCTGCCTGATTAAAATAGAGGCTGTGTGTGTAGCAGAAGGAAAACAAAGTTGGCCAGTGCAGTGGGTCTAAATTACAGGGGGCCGTGGAAGCCAGGGACAGACATTTAGCTTGATGGGCTAGGCACTGGGGAACCATTGTAGGTTTTTAAAGCCAGAGAAAGATATAACAAAAGCAGAGAGAGTAGTTTATAAAAAATATTCTACAGGATTAATTCAGAAATGAGGAGACTGCAGGCAGTGGTGCCAGCTTCAGAGGCTGATACAGTTATCAAGGGATGATGTAATAAATGCCTGTGGTACGCAGGCAGTGGTTAAAGGAGAGGTTTAGTCTGATATATTTGGACAGAAAAACTGACATGCTAACATCTATCTCCCCCTTTCATTTTAAGAAGGGAGGGATTTTTGATTATGATATCTGAAACTTGTTGGAATTTTAAATGGCTTCCTTATATGCACTGTTGGTAATTGTTTTTAAAATAATTGAGCGTTTTGAAATTCTAGCTTATTTTTAGGCATCTGATAATTGAAGTGACTTTGAAGCTGTTATTTTCTTTTTAAAAACATTTCTTCATGATTAAAATTTAAAAAATACAGAGAATAATTTAACAGACCCACAGGTACTCATTACCCATAATTAATAAATGCTGTGTTTCAGTGTTTGCTTCATTTTATTTATTTAAAGAGATAAAATTTTACAGATACATTTGAGGTTTCCTTTGTCCTCACTCCCCAACTCCATTTTTCTCCCTGCCTGCTAGGAGGCAGCACTCTCACAACTTTGAGATGTAAACTTCTTGTCTTTGTGCTTATATTTTACTGCATCTGTAGCTATTCATAAATAATACATAGTTTTAAAAACTTATAGTTTCATAGTGTAACCCCAATATATCTACAACTTTTTTTTTAACTCATTTGTTTTTGAGATCTGTTTTATATGCAGCCAGTTCACATATCTATTCATTTTTGTTAACAGTGAGAAACAGTTTGGGGAAAAATCTTCTAGTTCATTGGTTTAACAATTACTTTGACTATTAGCTAGTGCCAAGGCAGCTACACGATGGAGAGGTACAGAAGGCATCCTATATTAAGGGCCTTGAATGGAAATACCTTCCTTTCTTGCTGTTTCTCCAAAAGAAATGAAGCCATATAGATTTATATGATTGTAGTTTTTTTGTTTTTGGTGGGGGGACTGAGATTGAACTCAGGGGTGAACTCAGGGGTGCTTTACCACTGAGTTACATCCCCATTCCTTTTTTTGTTTTGTTTTATTTTGAGACAGGTTCTCACTAAGTTTCTCAGGGCCTTGCTAAGTTGCTGAGACTAGCCTTGAACATGCGATCCTCTTGCCTCAGCTTCCCGAGTCATTGGGAATACAGGCGGGCCCCACTGTGCCTCATTGTTGTCTTTTGAAATTCTACTCTAGCTATTCTAATAAAACCTGAATAGAATGGTTGCAATGTCGCTTTCACCTTCTGAAGATTTCCTGAAATGGAACAGTCTTTAGATTCCATCTAGAAAGAAGCTCTGTAAGCCCATTAAAGTTGATATTACTTTGGGATAGTAGCACAAAAGTAAGGATTTTACTATAAAATCTGTATTAATTCATCTCTCTTTCTTCTATATCTATAGTCAATAAGTCCTTTTAATTCTACCTTACATAGGTATTTTCAATTAGATCCCCTTGTTTTCTTCCTACTCCCCACCTTACCTTTCACCTCCCATACCATTGGCCTTCTAACTGGTTTCCCCTCTTAGGTGGCTTCCCTTAAAAGTTTTCTGCTCAGCCTGTCCCCTACAAATTTGCTCTCTCCCTTAAAATAAATTATACGTGTCCTAGTTACTGCTTGTAACACTGAAATTAGCCCTCCATTGCCAATAGAGAAAGTCTGTACTGTCCTTAGTTGGTAGAAGATTCCTCAAAATGAGACCACATGCAACTTGTCTTTTCTTCTTAGCCCCCATTACTTCTTCCTTATTCCCTATGTTTCAGCTACAGTGAACTTGTCATTACCTTCAACATGCTTGTTATTCCCTTCAACATCCCTTTGTTTACTTCATGCATGAAGTGAGAAGAAAGTTATTACAAATATATTTATATTATCACTCTTTTCTTGCCTTCTTGTTAATAGTCATTGTTAATCTTGTTTTGTAGGAATTATTACCATTGACAACCGTGTGGCATTAAATGTTCCATTGAATGACATCTTTAGATGCAATAGTTTGTTAACTATAGAAAATAATAATGTCACTCAGCACATTTGGAATGTTCTTGTACAAGCTTTTGTCCAAAATGGCACGGTGAGCACAAAAGGTGCGTATATAAAGTATGTTTTTCTATACTAGGATCCTAATTTAAGAGTGGTATTAAATATATTCCATGCTTGTATAATTACATCAAAATGAATTCTACTGTCATGTATAACTAAGAAAAACCAATAAAATAAAAAAAGTATATCGGGTGGTATTCATTAAGGTCATTATCTCAAAGCATTTATATTTTAAGACTTGTGGCTTACACAAGACCATAATTTTTTTTTTTGTAAATAATAGCAGTTTTTGTGGAATTTTTTAAAACTTTTTTTAGTTGTAGGTGGACACAATACCTTTATTTATTTATTTTTATGTGGTGCTGAGGATTGAACCCAGGGCCTCGCATGTGCTAGGCGAGTGCTCTACTGCTGAGCTACAACCCGAGCCCCTCTTGTGGAATTTAAAATTTAAAGTTTATTATATACACGTGGAATGATCTTTCAGCAAGTCTTTTTTTTAATGTGGTGTTGTGGGTCAAAACCAGAATCTCATGCTAGGCATGTGCTCTACCATTGAGCTATATACATCACCAGCTCTGGAATGGTCTCTCAAAAGGCTCTACCTATAATGTTTTCAGCTGATAAAACCTGATTTTTGTTTGATCATATCCTCGAATAGCTTAATCATCTACTCTTTAGCAAGTTCCAAGACAAAAGCTTGAAAATTAGATTTTTATTTTCTAACCTTGACTAAAAACACTTTTGTTTATTGTCTTTTGTTTGTTGGTTGGTTTTAGAATATCTATGTGATGAAGACAAACATGCCACAACAGTGGCACCCATCATTCACACCACTGTGCCATCTCCTACTCCAACACCCACTCCAAAGGAAAATCCCTATGTGGGAAACTATTCGGTTCGTGATGGTAATAGCACTTGTCTACTGGCTACCATGGGGCTGCAGCTGAACATCACTCAAGATAAGGTATGACTGTCTATTTTTATCATTACAGCCTTTTTGTGTTTCCTTCCAAATACTGTGTATCCTACTGTCTGCCCATGAGTAGTGTTACTAGAATAATTCAGTTTTAAATAGAGATTCGATGTTGACTTTGAGTTTTGATTGGTTACTGTGAGCATGAAGAGTTAATATTTCTTGTAAGGCATTGACTTGGTCAGCAGAAAACCTATCAGTTTATAGGATTCTTTGGAGTTTAGATTCTGTTTTCCCTTAGTAGGTCAAAGTACACATAGCTGAGTTGTATTTCAGTAGCTTTAAAATAGCTCAGTGGTAGAACATTTGCCTAGAATGCTTGAGGCCCTGGGTTCCATCCCCAGCACCACCAAAAATTAAACTATAACTCCTTCATACTTTTATCTGAAATGTACTGAAGCTTGTTGTTCAGGAGTAGTGCAGCTTTCTGTTTTTTTCCAGCTATTTGATGATTCAGATCGTAAAGACACATTCAAGTACATGATAGCTTTTCTAGTTGCAGTGTTCCACTTGGGCTCCAGAGGGAGTGCCAGTGAACAAATCTTGTTTCCAGGATCCTGTGATTGAAAGAAACTAGACAGATGGCTCTTGTGCTCCGTAAAAATGTGTGTTTTCATTTGGCTCATTACTGAGGAAGCTTCCCTCTTGTTGTTGTTGTTGTTGTTGTTGTTTAAGTCATCTGAGTCATAGCTTGAGGGTTTGTGCCAAGTTTGTTTGAAAGTAAGACACCATGAATTTAAGTATCCAAACAAAGGAGGTTTTGTTCTGCATTGAAGTTGGTCTTATTAGAGTGTAAGGCTTTGCTGTCAGATTTTATAGTTAATCTGTACCTCCCCTTTCTTCTTCCCCTGAAGGTTTCTTCAGTCATTAACATTAACCCCAATTCAACTGGTGTCACTGGCAGCTGCCATCCTCAGACTGCTCAGCTTAGGCTAAACAGCAGCAACATTAAGTATCTTGACTTCGTCTTTGCTGTCGTAAGTAACAGATTTTTTTCTAAAGTTGAGTTCATTCTCTGAGAAACACATCTGAAAGTTTAAACAATTGTGTATGGGGGTGTTCATGTCTTGTTTTATTTTCCATTTCAACACTATTAATTATACAGTGTAGTCCATTGATCCCTCTTCATTCCTCAAAGTCTGCTTGGTGTTCTGTGGCTGGACTCTTTTATTAATATTCACCAAAATGGCCTTTCTATTACATGTCTCTAGGGTAGGAGCAAGAATTAACTCACATTAAAAGAAAACTCTCTAATCTCTCCACATATAAATAATTTTCAGGATAATATTTTTTTCTCTTATTGGTTAGACAACCCTCATGTTTGTGTATTATAATATTTTCAGCCTTTTGGAAGTAATGCCATTTGTAATAGTGTTAGTAATAATAATAATAATAATAATAATAATAATAATACATTTGTTGAGTATGATAAGGCCTCTGTATCAGTGGGTACAGCTTTCATGGATTCACCAACCTTGGGTCACCAATATTAAGAAAGATGGGCTGGGGTATAGCTCAGTGGTAGAGTGCTTGCCTAGCATGTGCGAGGCCCTGGATTTCACCCAGTGTACTACCAAAAAAAAAAAAAGAGTTATATATGTACTGAACATGTACAGACTTATGTTCTTGTCATTAATCCCTAAGCAAGATAGTGTAACAATTACTTACATAGCATTTACATTACATTAGGTATCATTAGTAATTTAGAAGTGATTTAAAGTATGTAGGAGGATGTGTGTAGGTTATATGCAAATACTACACCATTTTATAAAAAGGGCTTAAACAAACTCAAATTTTGGTATCTGTTGCTGGTCCTGGAACCAATCCTATGAGAATATCAATACTAAGGGAAGACTGTACTTTCTAAATATAAGACATTGTGTAAGGGCACATATTAACTCATTAAATCAGGATAGCTTAAAATGCCAGCATTCGAGTTTGTGTTGTTGTTCACATTTGTATGAAAAGCTGAACCCTGAACAGAAGGTTTCAGGTTACGTATATCTGTCCTACTTCTTGCTAGAATTAATTAGTCATTGGGGACCTTTATTTCTACCTTCTCAGAAGCAATTGTTTTCCTCATAATATTTCTGTGAGGGGATATATCTGTATACATATCGTAGCAAATGGAAATGAGCAATAGGGGATAGCTACAGATAAGGGAAAATGAACCACCAATAGTTCTCAAAATAAGAGCTATTATATAATTGGATAAAAACAAGTTCTGCTTTGTAATCAGATTACTGATATATAACATCTGATATGTAGATGAGAGGTATGTTGTAATTTCATATCTGAACTTGGTATCTTGAGTCTAAAGTATTTTTCTCTATAAAATATGTGCTGAGTAATTGAAAATTATATTAGACAATTATATTTTAGAAAGGATTACAAAATTTTTCTTTTTCTTACATTCTAATAATTCCTCTGTTATATGACTAGTGAGTCACTGTTAAAAATGTCAGGTAGGCTAGGGTGTTGCTCAGTGGTAGAGCATTGCCTAGCATGCATGAGGCCCTGGGTTCCATTTCCAGCACTGTAAAATTAAAAAGAAGAAAGTGTATAAGTGTCTAAACTTGTTTTCTTCAGGCTGGGGGTGAAGCTCAGTGGTAGAGTACTTGCCTAATTTGTGAGGCCCTGGGTTCCATCCTTAGCAACATACATACATACACACACACACACACACATACACACACACCAAAAAAAAAAAAAACTTATCCTCTTCAGTATGGTAAGAGCAGACCTCCTTAGATATATTCTGTTATCTCATAGAAGTTATGGTTAATAAAAATGAGGAAAGTAATATTTGGGATCATTCCCTTTTGAGTGATACATCTGACCACTGTGGTAGGCTCTTTAATGGAAAATGGCTTCTTCTGATCTTACATGGAAATGTTTAATATTAATAATTATAATATTTGTTTTGCCCTGTAGGCTATTTTAAAATAGAATCCAGCCAGGCAAGGTAGTGAATACCTATAATCCCAGCTATCCTAGAGGCTGAAGCAGGAGGATCACAAAAGTTTGAGGCCAGCCTGCACAATTCAGCAAGATCCTTTCTCCAAATGAAAAAATAAAAATGGCTAGGAATGTAGCACAGTGGTAGAGCATTCTGTGTTCAATCTCTAATTTCACACACACACACACACACACACACACACACAGGGATAATTAGAACAAATAAAACAAAAACAGGGCTGGGGACATAGCTCAGTTGGTAGAGTGCTTGCCTCGCATGCACAAGGCCCTGGGTTCAATCCCCAATACCATACACACACACACACACAAAAAAAAAAAAAAGTCTAGGAGTGTAGTTTAGTGGTAGGGCATATGCCTAGTATGCACAAGGCCTTGGTTCCATTTCTAGTACTGCAAAAAAAAAAAAAAAAAAAAACACTAATAACATTAAATTAAAATCTTAAAATGTAGTAACAATTCCAGCTATCTGGGTAACTGAGGTAAGAGATCACAAGTTCAAGGCCCACCTGGGCAACTTAGCAAGACCCTACCTGAAAATAAAATTTTAAAAAAGGTCTGAGGATATAGCTCACTGATAGAGCTTGCCTAGCATGCATGGGCCATGAGTTCAATTCCCAGCACCAACACCAAAAGAAAAAAAATGTAATAGCAAGAAGAAAAATAAATAAAATTATCAAACAAACAAAAGAGAATAGCAGGCCTGGGGATATAGCTCAGTTGGTAGAGTGCTTGCTTTGCATGCATCAAGGCCAAGGGTTCAATCCCCAGTGAGAGAGAGAGAGAGAGAGAGAGAGAGAGAGAGAGAGAGAGAGAGAAGCAGTAGAAAGGGAAGAATAGAGCTGGAGTGATTGAAAGGCAGAGAGTCCAGTAAGAGACTGTCATGATCTGGGATAGAAGTGGTGTGGACTCTGAAATCAAGATGAATCACATTGTTATCCAAGAACCACATAACTACTCTGGTAGTCCACAAGTTGGAAATTAAATGAAGAGAAAAAGAGTTTTGCCACTTTGAGTTCTCTTTGCTTAGTTGCAGTTTATTATACTAGCCCAGGTCTAATCCATGGTAGCCTCTTCTCTGTATTACTACTATCACTTTTCTTCTGTAGATATTAACTTTACCTGTAGACAGTTGTGATATGTTGATTAATTGGATGTTCTCTTTCAAACAGAAAAATGAAAACCGATTCTATCTGAAGGAAGTGAATGTCAGCTTGAATTTGGCTAATGGCTCTGGTAAGCAAAGCATTGGTCTAAGGGAGAAGAGTGTGAGTTATATTGAAGGACTAGAAACTATACACGTCTTATTATCAAAGAGTGCCTTATTCAGTGGAACCTTGTAAAAAGTATACCTTGACCACCACTTAAAATATGTAACTTTGAATATTTGAGTTGTGATATTCTATATGTTGCTATATCTCATCTTTTCAAACATGGTAGTTAATAGTTAAGGATGCAAATGATTTTTAAGCTGTAGAAACATCTATAGAAAGATGAGGGAGGTAGTTTATGACTGTAATCCCAGCTATTCATGTGGCTGAGTCAGTAATATTGCAAGCTTAAGGCCAACTTGGGCAACTTAATAAGACCTCTGTCAAAATAAAAGAGAAAGGGCTAAGGGTTGGGGAGGTAGCTCAGTGGTAGAGCACTTGCCTGGCATATCTGAGGCCCTAGGTTAAAACCTCAGTACTGCCAAAAGAAAAAAAAAGTAGTGGTGGTAAGACTTGCTTTTCGTTGGTAGACCATGTTTCCTAAGCTCCCATACTTTACTAAAAAACACTGAGAACTGTCCATTTTTGATGTTGATAGGATAAGAAATTACTAACCTGTATTTTTTTTTTCCTGGAAAGTTTTCAGCATTGCAAATAACAACCTTAGCTACTGGGATGCTCCTCTGGGAAGTTCTTATATGTGCCACAAAGAGCAGACTGTTTCAGTATCTAGAACATTTCAGATAAATACCTTTGAATTAAGAGTTCAGCCTTTCAATGTGATGGAAGGAAAGTATTCTACAGGTAAGAATCAAGCAAGTTTTATTAATAATTATGTTCTTACATTGACTGATAGGTGGCTTTTTCTTTGAGTCATGGAAATTTATATATTTAAATAGAGAAATACGAACTCTCCTCTTGACTCTACGATGTAGAGTTCTTATGGCAATGGACAAGTTGTGTAACTATATTTGGCCCATCATTTTGCTCAAGCCAAATGTTTTTATGATCTGAAAACTATTTAGAGCTTTAAGTGAGCTTACTTAAAATATAGTTGCGTCTTGGTTTCAGTTTGGAGGGGATGGTACCTTGGAGCAGCAGCTTTGAGTATCTTATCTGCCTTCTTGGGGCCATCTTCTCATTGGAAACATTTTCCTACCTGAATGAAAGCAGTTTGGTCTGATCTCAAGAAACAAAAATAAAGAGGGATAGCGAAGCCTCAAATATTGCGAACTATGTTATTAGCAGCCAGAATTATCTGACAAGTCCTCAAAGCATGTACCAGTGCAAATGAGGCTTTTTGAAAATCAACTCAGGGCTAATGATGGCATTTATAAGATTTTTGATGAAAGTTCTTTGAAGGACTTTCATTATAACATGTTCATGTGAATGTGAAAGATGTATTTGGCATTCACAAGATGAAAATTTGCATAAAGAAAACAAAGTACACAAAATTCCTTAAGTAACTTGTCCTTTTAAACCAATTACTTAAAATTGGAGGTTTGTGCATCACAGATTTGCTGAGCAGAGCTATTCCAGTCATCCATATCCTTTTAAACAATTAATTCTATGGTTTAGAAGGAAATGTAGAAGCAATGTTTAAAAGTGAATATGCTGGCTAGGGATGTGGTTCAGTGGTTAAGCACCCCTGGGTTCAATCCCTGAAACAAACAAACAAACAAAAAGTGAATATGCTGTGAGCCATTCAACTACTTCTTCAAAGGTGATGAATACCTCGTCAATAAATGGGCTTTTCACCCTACCATTCTTGTGAGTAGGGATGTTAATCACAACTTTAAGAGTTATTTTTAAGAATTCATTTTTTCTTTTGTTGGTTTTACTTATGTACTTCATTTTTTCATCCTTTAGTAGCTTTATTTATGGAGTCTTAATCTAGCTCCCCTATATCTTCACTATAATTTTAGATCCAGATTTGTGTTTAGAATTTAAAATCTTTTTCAGTGTTATTATCAGTTAAGGTCTATTTATCTAGTCAGTTATAATATAGATGAGCTGTTCTTTTTCTTTAAATTTCTGGGTTTTATGTGCATAGAATTTAAAATGTCACCCAAAGAAGTATATAGCATTTAATACTATTAAATGCATAATCTATCTGTGGAACTAGGTTCTTGGCTATGGGTACCTATAAATACAGCACATAGGTAATACTTGAGTGTATATGGGGAGGAAATAGAATTGCAATAAGGTAGAAGAGTGTTGATTGGATTTTATTGGATCAGACTATTCTCCAGAAATAGAAAAATAGTCCCTGTAGGCTGCTAGCCTGGACCAAATTGATAAGAAAGGTAGTAACCACACTCAGGTTAGTAAGAGGTCCCAGTTTCTTGACTCATGTAGCCACTAAAATCATATAGTCTCAATCAGAGATCTGAAAACTTTTTCTTAAAAGATCCAGACAGTATTTTTTAGGCTTTGGGGCCACATTGTCTTTGTCGCAACTATTCAATCTGTCATTATAACATGAAGACAGCCATAGGTAATACATAAACAGATGAGTGTGACTGTGCTCCAATAACGCTTTTGTAATGGACACTGAAATTTGAATTTCATGCAACTTTCATGTGTCACAGAATATATGTCTCTCCCACAACCATTTAGAATTATAAATATGATTTTTAGCTCTTGGGCCAGATTTGGCCATGAACTGTAGTTGACTGACCCAAGTATAGAGGAACTCTAAAGCCAGCCTGGTTCTTCTAATCTTGTAATACCCTGCTATCCTGTTTCCCCCAGAGACAATCACAGTACCACTGGGAGTCTAATCTGGCTATGTAGAAATAGGCTAAATTAGCTCTCTTAATTTCTGATTAAGTGATACTCCTGTTTTGGAAAGAACTTGGAATGTAAACAAATACACAACCATACACACACGTATGTATACCGTGTAATCCAGTGTGTGTGTTCATAGACATAAATGAATTTATACATATTCATGTGTATGAATTCATATATACACATGAGCATAAATATAAATATAAGAAGACAAGTTTTAGGATTTTAGTTTTAGAATAGCCCCTAATTTTCTGTAGCTTTATCATAAAAATATACCTGTCATAATTAAAATTGATTTTGTAAGCATTTCTGACTTTTGAATCAACATCTTTTACTTTTGAACATTCTTTTTTTGATTATACTCATTATTTGTTACACACTTTTTCTCACCTACAGCCCAGGAATGTTCGCTGGATGATGACACCATTCTAATACCAATTATAGTTGGTGCTGGTCTTTCAGGCTTGATTATCGTTATAGTGATTGCTTACCTAATTGGCAGAAGAAAAAGTTATGCTGGATATCAGACTCTGTAACACTAATCCACATGTGATCTCTGTTATCAAACAATAAAGCAAGTACAAGTTCCAACCTGCAATACTGTTCAATTTAAGGTATATTTAGTTGTAGTCCTGCTCTTAGAATGGGTGGTATGAGAGATTTTTGAACTTAAACAAAAAAATCCTATAAACTATAAATTAGCCATGTGATATTGGTTTCCCAACCAAGGAATAGTTATTTCTATAGTAAAAGACACATGCAAAATCACCTGTATTATAGGTTCTATTTTACTGTCTTGAATTAGATTTCAGTGTTTTCACTTACGTATATCTGACTAGAAATATACAGCTTAGGAAAAACAATTTTTGAAACGATATCTTTTCCTTGCATGAGGTTGAGTTGGGACAACATATTCTATAGTGGATTTGTACTTGCTCCTTTTGCTTTTTTTTGTGATTTCGTTTGCAGGTTAACTTAGCTACTTTGGCATTGCTGCATTATTTGATCCATGAAAGAGATGCTAGTAGATTTGAACAGGGCCTAGTATATTATGTTCTTACAAATGAATGCTTTTCTCATGCTTTTTGAATACATTTGTACTTAATGTGGCTGTAATGACAAAAGACATAAAAGCTTTTTCAATTTTAGAATAGGTGTTAATCTTATTGTTTAATGCTTTTTTTTTTTTTCAAAAAACTGGACGTTTCAATCTTTTAAATTGCAAGATGCAAGACTATTCCAACTGGGCATTTCAATCTATTTTTTAGGTGCTTTAAAGATAATTGCTAGGCAGTGCCAATTGAGGGCATTAGTCTTTTGTACCCGTAAATTGGCCTCTACATGTAGTACTAAAATTAATGTAGATTTCTCTTTAACCTTCCAGTCTTCCTTGTTGGTGGTAATGTATTTTATTCTTTTCTTTTTCTCAAAGAAGAAATGCCAGTATGTCCTAGAACCTAGATCAAGTGCACTTACACTTAGAAAATAACTTGTACTCAACCCAAAAGTCTTGGTCTTCCCTCAGTCTATTAAAAAGTTATTCATTTCTAGTTTGCATTGATTGCTACAACATTTAGTAATTTGGCTTTTACATTTAAATGGTTCTGTGTTAATCAAAACTTACATTGTTATTGTTCATTATGGTAGAATCATTATTAATTCATATACTTTGTATTCAGTTTTGTGATGGGAGAGATGTACCAATTGTCTATTTACTGTGCATCACCTAATGCTTATGTAAGAAAGCAAACTTTTTCAGCATATATAGTTAACACATCAAGTATTCCTTGCAGATTCTGCACGCACGTGCGTGAGCACGCTCACATACACACACACACAACACACACACACACACACACATTGGTATGGCTGAGCAAATTATTTTTAAAAATATCAATGTGCAGCCACATGTGCAAGGTTCCTGTGGTTATTTGGGGAGGGCAGATTATATGCCTCCCCATCAGTAGGAAATGAAGAGCTAGTACTGGGGATACTATTCAATGTTGGAGTGCCTGCCTGCATGCACAGGGCCCTGGGTTCTACACACAGTACTGCAAAGACAAAAACTATCTGGGTTCCAAAATTTTGATGTTGAATACATCAGTACATACATGCACGCATATATAGATAATTGCATGTTAGCATGTTTATGTCTGTAACTGTCATTAGAATGATAAATAATTTCTCTCACTTAAATTTGCTGTCTGTTTAGCCTGAAAATCTTACTGGCTCAGAATCAGATTCCTGATTGACTTAACCCCTCTCCTAGAGCTACTTTGAGCTGAATTGCCAGCTTAAATTGCTTCCTAAAGACTAAATCTGATTTTTAAAAATTATTTTTTTTATTTGAAATATGTTTTAGTATAAAATTGTTAATCTTATAAGACTGGATAATACTTTTAAGAATGTGGGCCTTAGAGATTTTTCATGAGTCAAAACAGCAGTTTTAAAAACAAAAGCAAAAACAAAAACTTAGAAGCACAAGTGGGTGGCATTGGCTTAATGCTGTTAATGTTTCTAAAAGTTTCTACCTTTAGATTATATATCTGATTCATATTAAAATACCTCTAATAAGCACTGTTTTATATAAAATCTGACTTAAGTGAATATTTTTGTATTCTACATGGGCCAGTTTATATTCTGCTATTTACACTATGATTTCCTATAGCCACACGTTCTCTGTATTTTTTGTAGTGTTGTTGTTTTGTTTTACTGAGTTTGCACCTTGATGCTAAAATTCTATTTGGTTTGGGGTGTTTTTCATGTTAAAGCATTTGTATAAAGAAACTGGTCCATGTAAATACTTTCCATGTTTTTTTCCTCAATGTTTAAACCACTAGTTATTGTATGGTATCTCTCTTTAGATATTTGCCTGTTTGCTCAACATTGCTTCTAAAACAATAAAGATTCTTTTATTTCTTAAGTAAATTTGCTCACATTTTTTCCTGTTGGTTAAAGTCAAGATTTTGTATACTACACAATCGCAATTTCTTTCAAAAGAAAAATCTTTGTAAATGCTTAGAAGTAGAAATATTCTGTGTAGTATTCTCTGGAAGAAGGGGCATACATAGGCGTTGAAAGATGCTAAACTGGCTACAGAATAAGAATTACCTGGGAATTGTGTTTTTAGTAAAAACACATACTTTATTACAAATACACTTCCCAGGTTTTCCCAGACTCCAACCCTAGAGTATGTCACTTAGCAGATCTGGGATGAGGGGGGTGTGTGTGTGTGTGTGTTTGTGTGTGTGTGTGCGCGCGCGTGCACATTTCCCTGCTGAATCTGATGCATAGTCAGAGAGGGACCCAGAAATCTAGAATATTTATTTCATAGTAAAAGCTTCAGAGTATCTCTTCCTACACTTCTCAATTCCTAAAGTGAGACCAATATTTCATATCTGTACATAGCAGCTTTTCATAGCAGCTATCCAAAGTGAGCTATTGATCTGAACCGAAGTAGGATTGTGTGCAATCCATCTCTTAACTCATCTTAAAATACTTCAATCTTCCAATTTCCAAATAGTTTCCTGGTCACTGTAGTAATCACACAAGAAAACTAAGCTGGTAATTTTTCTCTGGGTTACCCAGTTAAGCCATATGAATGCTGTGAGTCATGGCTCCCAATACTGCTATTAGCTACCATGTGATTTTGGCCAGGTTGCTTCACTCCTGGGATCTCAATTTTCTTCATTTAGGGATTGGGGCTTTAAAATCCTGCTACTCTTATTTCTTTGAGTGATAATTTCCATTTCAAAGAAGATAAATATGCATTTGAGTATTTTTAGAAGGAATCTGATAAGAAGTGACTTGTTATGTATCAAGATCATACTCTACATTCAATAAAGTATTAACCCCTCAGTGTATAGTGCACCTATCTTATTTCCTGCATTTTTTTCCAGGAGGAATTCTTATAAGATTCAGATTTGTTTTTCTTTCTTTTGGTACTGGGAATTGAACTCAGGGGCACTTTACCACTGATATACATCCCCCAGCCTTTTTTATTTTTTATTTTGAGACAATGTCTAAGATGCTTAGAGACTCGCCAAGTTACTAAGGTTGGCCTCATTTTAACTTAGCCACACAAGAGTTAGGTTTTTAAGATTAATATCATTTCATCTGATTTTTAAAGTTAGATAATGTCAAATTTTCTTGCATTCGTCTGTCTTACTCATCTCCTTTTAGCTACCATGTCTTACCTTGGTAGCTAATTTTCTGCATCAATAACTGTTTTATGTTGTCTTTGAAAAGTGTAGACATGCATAAGTGGTAGAAGCTTTAAGTACCCTTTCAGCTTTATGTGATTTACTTTGGTTTGAGTATTGATCTAAAAGGTATATAACAAATATATGTCGCATAAGAATGTGAGTCTTAGAGTAGATTCTTAGTGTGTGGTGCTGGGGATTGAACCCTTGGCCTTGGTGCATGCAAGGCAAACACTCTACCAACTGAGCTATATCCCCAGCCCCTCAACTGCTTTTTAAGGGAGTTTTACATTTTGTCATAAATGTATATCTCAGCTTTCCAATTCTTATGCTGAAAATTTTATTTGAAAAATTTCTGAACAGAACATTGAAGATTAACTGTTTATAATCTACTGTTTCAATGAAAGTTTTCATTGAAATTTCATTGGTCATGAAACTTTTTTAGTCTTAAAAAATATTCATTGCTTCTGGCTATTAAACTCCTCCACAGATGTACTTTTCCTTTCCCCAGAAATATTTTCGGCAAATAGGTCAGGTCGAAATGACTTTTGGAATGAGAGTTTTCTTTTTTCAGGATACAATCCTATTAAATTACTGTTTTCCCAAAATTTCTTTCCATTACCTAAAGAATTTTTAAAGATTGAATTCATAAAATCAATAGTTATTATAAATTAATATTTCACACACTAATTGAGAGCATTTTAAGTAAGTGACAGCATCTGGAAAGATCTTTGTATTAGCGGAATTGCCTTTTTGATCTACTCTGGGAATATTTGTCTTACATGAAAGCCTTATTGGCAGTATTTATGAAAGTCGTTTCAGTACTAGGTCAAATACCCAATTTGGGAAAGAGAGGACTGTGAGTCTGTTGCCAGAATAAGAAATTAATCTACTAATGAATTTTTTAAAATCCAAGAGATATTAAATTCAAAGCATAATACTTTATGATACGTGTCACCTAATAGTTTATAGGCTGAATGGTAATTTGGGAAATTGAAGGGGTGGCACTCACTGAGGACTCTTAACATCATCTATTCACAACTCACATCTGGCAACCTCAGCTATCTGGATTCTTAACAGAACCAAGTTAAAAAACATCATTGAGCTGGCAGCCAAAGTCAATGTCAAAAAGTCCATAAACTCCGAGGTTGCATCTTGTTCCCAGTTACTGTCCCAGAGGGTTACAGGAAAAGAAAAAAAAAAAAAAAAAAAGGCTGGCACATTTCTTGAATGCAGGCAAACTCAGAATTGCCTTTAGCCTATTCATTCTTATTTTTGACCCAATTCAAATAAACTTAATTGCCTGATTTATCAATCCCTGGTAGATTGCAAGCTAGGAAGAGAACTAGGGCAGTAAGAGGCAAGGAAATGGGAAATAGAAGTGTCAGTTTAACATGTGAGCTCTCTTCTTCCCTTTCCAAGTGTGTGTCCATTTGTGTACTATTCCTTCCTCTCTCTAGTATCACTGTAGGTTTTCTTGATTAATACTTCTGAAATACCATTCCTCCTGCCTCCTAGGAGACCTTATACCAGTCAGCATCTTCAACGTATCATGTGCTAATAGCTCTTTAAACATTTGTCTCATCCTATAAACATGTAAGTCTCTTCCACTCACCTGCCATCTTTTCTTGTCTTTGTTCTAACTACCTCTATATTGCTTCTCTTTTCTTAAATCATTTTTAACTCCTTGAAATGAGCATATGTTCCTTATCCCATGTTCTCGATTTCCTAACCAATCACTTCCCGTTTACTTGTAAATCTTTGGCAATTTGACTCATACCCTTCGACTGTCTATATTCCTAGATTCAATGGACATTTTTCAGACTTCTCTTAAGACTTTGCTATTCTCCTATGCTAATTGAAACTCTCCCTTTCCTTCACTTCAGTGGCACTATTTTCTACCTGTCTTTTCTACTTCTTTTTCCTACTCTGGTCTATCTCTCAAATATGAGTGTTCCCAAGGGTTTTGTCTCTGGACCTCTTTATTTGACTTGCTCTCACTGAGAAATTTTGTTGTACATGGTTTTAACTACCACTTGTCATATAACCACTTGGTTTGAACACAGGCATAAATCCAAAATGGAGTGACTCTCTAGCTTATCCTCTCCCAACCCTCCCCCATCAAATAACTACAAATATAACAATACTGAAATTGTTCAGTATTGTTCTTGAATTATTACCATGATGAATGGCACCAGCATGAACATAATTACTTAAGTGTGGAATTGGAAACTATCCTATTAGCACCTCCTCCTACACCCTCTACATCCATTTGGTCAATTTTGCCTTCTAATTGAATCTCCAGTCTGTCCTTTCTGCATCTTCACTTCATTAACCTAGTTCAGGGACATAATATTGGTCACTTAGACTCTAGTAATAGAGGTGCCGCCTAACTTAACTACCTCTAGGCTTCCTTCTGCCATACCTTCTGAAACAAAAATATCCTGCTTAAAATCTTGATGCTGATATATTTTTTTTTTCTATCAGGATAAGGCCAAACTATCTAGGAGTATACCGTGATCTTATAAGTTGGTTCTGATACATTTTTCTGCCTCCTGCCCAGTTGATCCATTGTTCTAGCTATGTCAGCTTGCTTGTTGCCCCTGAAGTGCCAAGTGTTCTTGTCCTCCATATTTTTGTCTGTGCTGATTCTTATGCCTGGAATATCTTTATATCTTTATCTCATTACCTGTATGGGTAATTCATATCCATCCTTAAAAACTCAGCTCAATTGTCACCTTTTAAAAAGTGTGTCTTGTGTAACAAGGCTGAATTGAGTGTGCCTTTGAAACACTTCCATTGAAACTTTGTGTATTGCTTGCCCCAACCACAGCATATTTTGAAATTATAACCACTTACTTCCTTGCCTGAGTCTCACACTAGACTGAGCTTCTTGAAGCCAACAAGTATGCCACTAGGGCCAGTTTTTATCTTTCCTCCTTATTTAATGACTCCAGATTTCCATGTATTGAGTTCTGTGTCTCTTTTGTATAGTTGTCATTAGTTAATACTTAATAATATACAGTATTCCAAGCACTGTGCTTCTTTAACATCATAACATTTTGTCTCTGAAGCTCACAGCCTGATCATCAAGGAAAGGTTAATTATATTTATTCACTATCTTCTGTTTAAGAAATCTGAGAAAAATGTGATCATTTTTGTATACATTTCACCCAAAATGACTACATTTTTTTTGTTATGTAAAAGTGTATGGTTTGGTTATTTGGGAAGTCACTTCTGTGGAACATCTCATTTGCTAATAATATAATGCCAGTGACTTGTTATCTTAATGTGAAAAACAAAATGTGTGTGCTGGGAAGTACTGTCATTTTAACTTAAAATGGACAGATTTGAAAATTTGTCATTGTTTCTGTTCTCAATTGTCCTTTCTCCACATCTAGCTCAAGACTGCAGTGCAGATGACGACAACTTCCTTGTGCCCATAGCGGTGGGAGCAGCCTTGGCAGGAGTACTTATTCTAGTGTTGCTGGCTTATTTTATTGGTCTCAAGCGTCATCATGCTGGATATGAGCAATTTTAGAACCTGCAATCTGATTGATTATATAAAAATACGTGCAAATAATAAGGATTTGTTGCCTCTTGGTATATGAACCACTTTTCTTCTTAAAAATGATATATTGAAACCTTAATTCCTAAATCATTCCCAGTATTTTAAGATCAGTCTTTATTAATAAAACTGCTCTCTCTCTCTCTCTGATTAGCTTA